TTAATAAAGCCGCTCAGACTTCTTTCCCGCCATTTTTATTACGCTAAGCTACCACAAAGTTGTATTGAATCCTTACACTGCCATATCTAACAGTAATCAGGATGAGGGAAGAGAGGTATTATCTGTTGTTTTTTTCTATATATTATCTAACTACATCATGTACCTCGAAGAAAAATACCTCATTCGACTTGTTCCACTTCAATCCACTCTGGTGTCTTGTTGAGCAAAGATCGAAGACTCAACGAGGATATTCGCATGGACGTCTGTCGTTCGCCTGCCATAAAAACTGTTGGGAAAGATTACGACACAATATTAGAAGGATGAACGACGTACGTGATGTTGTTCCTTCTCCCAAAATATCATACGTCACTAGCATGCGGTGATATTTACTGCTGCTTCTAGGGCACCAGCAAAACCTGATATTACAGATTAACTATACGAAAACAAAAACAGCACAATTGTTTTCTAATCTAATGTTACTGACATGTGGAAAGAAAAGAAAAACTTAACATAATTTATTTCAGTATCCAAATATTATTGGATCGTTTCGGACACATCCTAAGAATAATCTTCAAGGGTACTTTGATTTTTTTCTCTATAATGTCTGTTGTTATCTCTTAACATCGCAGTGTGGCGAAGTCCGACTGAAGAAAATAAATCATTTTGAAAGCCTTCTGACAGTAAGAAAACTGAGCACACATAACCAGAGAAGACAGAAAGTGTTATATTTTTGAATTAAAAGGCGCGAGCAAAAAAAAAAAAAGGGTTTGCTCTAATTAATGGTGAGTGGACTAAATATCTCTAACGTTAATGATGTGGCTGTATTGCATTATGTGACTTCATTTGTTTTTTATAAATATAAGTCTTAAATGACGTTGTACAGCTATGCTAATTCACACAGTGGTAGCTATTTTAAAAGATCGGGGATATGAACCACGACCTGAAAGTCTATCAATGTCGTTTTTAACACTGAGAGCGATAATGTGATAGTGTGCACTATTATTCAACCTAAGAAGCATAAAATATTATCACCAGTGAGAAACTTTTATCAAGTATTCATAAACATAAAACTCAAGGTAATGATATTCTTAAAATATACATAATTGCACAATTTTGTTCGATATATTTTTCTAGGCACATTTATCTTGTTGCATTTATTAGAGATAAGTTATTACGCATGACAAACTACATTACAAGCCTATTGTATAAGTGTTAAACATGTGGTATTTCTTGGAAAATGAGAGTACTAGTTATCAATAAATGTTTATGTGGTTTATTAACATTTGTGGTTCGATCCTTGCAGTGAGCACAGCAAACGCAGCAAAGAGCACGGTACTTGTAAAAGAGTAGTTCTGAGGACATTGAAATCTGTATCCTCATATGAAACATAACGAAGAGCATTTGTTATTATTCTCTGCGAACTTAAGCTGTATATTGTAGCATTTTAATACTGAAGAAATAAGATATGCTTATGATGTTAGCTATCCCTAATTTTTGCATTGATAGACTAGAAATTGTTTGTTTGTTTTGAATTTCGCGCAAAGCTACACGAGGACTATCTGCGCTAGCCGTCC